GGGGGGGGTGGGGGGTGTTGACAGAGAATAGAGAAAACAAACGGTGCGTGAAGTACATTACCATTTCCTTTCATGTAAAACGTAGCAACGCTAAGAACTTACCTTTGTGATGTCGCACATAATGACGCCCTGTGCAAAACCCACATAGGCTGCAGCTGCCCAGGCCAAAAGCCAGCGTGGGTCCGTGAGGCACCGTCGAATGTCCTTGAAACGCTCCCGCCAGGAAATCACCCTTCTTTGAAGCACGGTGTCCGGGCTCTCGAAGAAGATGAGCACTGCGCCCATTGCCACCACGGACATGCACAGATAGATCAGAGTGAGCAGCTGGTAAAAGTTTACTGGTGGCGACGGTTCTGTGGATCTCCTGGCTTGTATGGGAATGAAAGGAAGCGTGTACGTCCATTTGTCATTTCTCTGTTGTTGTCGTCCAGATGAGCGAGAGGACGATGATGACGACTGGTGTGAGGAGGATGTGTTGACGATGTCCCAACTTTCCGTGCAGTGAAATTCTGAGACAGAAATTAACCCGGAGCTGAGAAGGTTTCCGAGGATCTGTGCAGAGTGGATCGTGATAATGGTGACAGTTTGGAAAAGACGAAGTGATTTGTGCGGAGTTAGGCGTGCACGTACGGCGTACTGGAGCCCATAGTTGAGCAGCAGTGAGTCCTGCACTGCCCAGAATGCAGGCTGACTCAGTCCCACGAAGCAGGAGGCGGGGAGGAGTGTGTACGCAGACGGGATAACGTTAGAGACAGAGTAAAGGATGTGGAAGAAAAGGGAGATGAGGAGTAAGGATTTGGCGCGGATCTTTCTCAAAATGAGGGAGGTGAGGAGGCAGCCGACTATGTAGCTGAAGTACATGCAGACTAGAGAGATTTTACCCAGCTGGCCGTCAGAGTGAATACTCGTCTGTAGGTTTCTGTAAATAGAAATAACCGAAAAGCAGATCAAATTTCTAGTCACTTTTTCTGAACTGAACGTGACTGGGGGGTGGGTACGAGGAATGTGAATAACAAAAAAAAAAATAAACAGTCAAACAAAAGACTACCTGAAGTGACTTTGACTGCTTGGCGTGAAAAGCGCAATTGTCAGATTTTTTTATCGTTATCTTCATATTGCCATCCAAACATCACACCTTTTCTGTAGACCAAGAGTAGTTTTCCTAATCACGCAAGGCCGCGATCTTTATTAAAAACAGGACAGCTGTTAATTTTGAGGTTATTTAGTCGCCCTGAAAACTAAACACAATATTTGTAGGACTCTTCGAGGACTGGAATCGTTATTTATTTATTTCAACTAAGAAGAATTAACAGTAGATGTATGTTATAATTGTCACGTTATTCTTTCTTTTTTCTTCAATGAGCGTAAAACGGCTAGAGCCCATGGGATAACTAACTGTAAAATCTTCATCTCACAGCCAGTTGATTTTACGTACATATTCATGGTCAGATTTTTTACATAGAACGTAGAACCATCCATTGTCTGACAGGCAGCCATGTTCCGCTTTCGAAGTTACTCTTGATTATTCATACCCGTTAAGACTGACTTCAATTTTTGACAGGAATTCATTTTTTATTTTGATCCAACGGAGTTCCGATGGACTAAATCTTTTCGATTTTAGAATCGCAAAGAGATCTTCAAGGTACAAAACTTCCTCACTGAACCTACGATACTGTCCGTCCTTATCCGAGAACTGTAAGCACTTAGTATTACTACCCTAGGTTTAATGGGTGAAGAAAACGTAAGACAAAACCCGACACTGGCGGTAATCGAACTCTGGTCCTCCAGATTGACAGGCAAACATCATACCTGTTGAGCTATTCAGCCTCCTTGATTGTTTTTATATCAAATACCGATGTACTAACTTTTCTATACGCCGTTTCACTGAGAAGGAAATAAAAATCTTTGGCTCACAGACAGTTAACATTATTGGTAGCATTATTGTCAACAGGGGGGGGGGGGAATAAGAATTGCATAAACAGGTAGAGCGCTTTAACTTTTTTATTTTCGCCGGAAATACTTTTTTAAGTCGTGACGTATGCAAGGTGGTATGTTTGTAAAACGAATCATACCAACACAATTTGATACAGATGTTTGAAAGCATTTAACAGACAATTTAAAGATAAATGCATACAAACATGTTTCCTAGAGCTTGGTTTTGGTGTGTTCAAATAAAGAGAGAAAAAACAATAGTAGAATCAATACCTTACATTTCCGTGTCGTTGTTACAGGTCTCGATAAGAGCTGGACACACTGTCCAACCATATCATGCCACTACCGGCGAGTTTAATCTCTCTAAACCTAAGGCCTATAGTACAAAAGGAAAATGTCTACATGTCACACAAGTACGCAAATGAGGCAATTTTTTCATGTTCTTCTCAATTCACCACCAACCGAAGCCATACTTTGCAGCAGCGTGAAATGTTCCCTGTGTGTGTGGGATCTAACATCGTCTCTGCGGTTTCATACTGACAGAAGCACTGCCAGGCTTTATTTTCTT